GTAAACATTGTAAACATGAGTTTATGGTCTCAATCTCTAGTTTCAAGTCTTCTTCAATACAGCATGATGTTCATTTAGTACATTATGGTCCATTTAGAGTCACACAGACCATAAAGCAGGGGATGCTTTAGGGCGGGGCTACACAGTGATTGACAGGTCTCTACCAGAGACGTACACGGCGTCTCTACGTCACTCCTCCTCAGTCCAGATATGGTCACTTCCTGTTTATTGGTTGCCAAAAAAACAACATGGCGACAGTCGTAATCCAAGATGGCGGCGGCGAAATTGCCGAACTCGAGGCTTAAAAACATCAGTCCACAAACCAATAGGTGGTGTCACGATGACTACGTCCACTTCTTATATACAGTCAACAGTAACAGAGAAAAGTACTGTGGTCAGCACTAATGGGAATTAACAATCAACACAGAGGCCTTTTACAAACGGGAATTCATCGTTAAACGGACTTAAAAACAAGCAATTTGTACCCTTCTGTTAATTACACAACACTCCACCATTTATCTTTATGGAGAAAATGAGTTCCTCAAGTGGTGCAGATACAGGTAGAGGAGTGTAATGTCCAAACATAATCCGTATAATATGTACAGTTACAGCTCTTGAATGTTTTTAAATTGCCTTCTTCTGTTTTTTTAAAGATAGTGTCCCGAACATTTCTTATTCTGCGTGTAGAGGTTCAGTAGCTTTAGACTCACGACCATTTAAATCTAAGCCATTAAAGCAATTTGGTTCCAGTGCTAAACGTAAAGAATAAAACATCCTCTAAACAGATGATGATGAATTAACATAATGAATGAAAGTCTTGTTAGTAACCATTACAAACGTTAACTGCTGGACTGGGATTAACAATCCAGCCCCCTTTACTTCCATTGTCTTCTTCTGTGTGAATAAAGACGTGAAGTCTGGATGGACCAGCAGTTTATAACAGTTTATATACAGGTTCAACCAAATATAACAAACGCTCAAAGTTATTATCACTCAAAAGGTCAAAATCAATTTGTTTAACAATCTGGGGAACAAAATCCCTTGCAGGTCCTCTTGCCTAAATGTGTCTGATTGAACTAAGCCTCAGAACTCAGCCTCTCTGCCCCTCATCTGGCGGATTGTGAGCTAAGCTTTTTAGCTCTGCAATAGAGCGAGTCCAGGGCTCTGAGGACAGGAAGTGTTGCTCGCTAACCTACACGGGTGGTTGAACCTCTTTGTGTCCAGTCGGAGGATTTTAGACTCCTCGTTTGGATCAAAATATGACCCTTGCAATTTAGTCTTTAACTGCAATAAATAGATATATCTCTATCCCTAAATATTCTTCTCTCTTCTCAGCTGCTGTTGTCATTAAAGCCACTTCCACTTCCTGGAAAAAACTGAGGAGAGCTGCACTTCAAAAAGCTCCTCACCTGGTAACCAATTGTTAGGGGGGGGGATTATGGATTCTGACCAAGGATGGATTATTTGGATAAACAGAACAAAAGCCACAGCGGGCAAAGCCGCATGAAAGTCATGTAGGTCTGGATGATATGGAGAAAATCTAACGTCACAATATTTTTCACCAAATAACTTGATATTGATATTGCGGCGATGTTGTTCGGTTGACAGTTGTTGCTTTAACAAAAATATTCAGATTTTTGATAAATAATAGTCAGAATTTGAGATGTTTTGAACCCATTTATTCCTTCCTGACACGTATTCCGAAACGTGGACTTGCGTATCGGCCAATTCCGAGCACTGATCCAATATCAGTGTGTTAAAAACCAAAAAAGTTCATCGGGTCATAATTCATCTCTAATATCTATTTTATATTGCCGTGAAAACATCTCCTTCAAACAACTGGATTTATTCAAGTTTATCGCCAAAAAGTACATTTTACAAGATTACATTTGAAGACATCATGATGAGGTCATAGTTTACTTTCAGCCAGTACTCATTGTTAGGAAACGGAGCTTGAACGCATTAAAATGTAACTGAAGTGAACCTCCGTTAACGTTAGCTGTTGCTGCTAACAGCTAACGCTAACTGGCTCTCCTCCTGCTGATTTCAACACAGACTTGTTGTTCTCAGTGAGTACTGGCTCGCACATGCTCAGTAGCGATCGGGCAGGATGTATAGATCAGGTAGCAACACGTGTTGTTGTTGTTCCTGTGTCGAATAAATGAGCTGATAAATGAAATATGACTAAGTGGGCGAATAACAGAACAGATAGAACAGTCTGGTAAGTTCAGAAAATTACATGACTTTACTGTAATGCAGCCTTTACCAGGAAAACACAATTCTGCCATATTACGATATCAAAAATTCTAAGACAATATCTGGTCTCATATCACAATATCGAAATAATATCGATAAATTGCCAAACCTGTGTGTGTGGCACAGATACACCCTTGTTGCCGTGTGTCATTGTGCTAAAGTGTGTGCCGTTAACACACAATCTGACACACGCACACACACTCACGCACACACACAAAAGTTTAGCAGAAACACTTAAAATATAAAGCTCACAAGTTAGCAGTAAACTGATGATCTGAGTATCTCCACAGAGCAGCACACTAAACATCTAGACAGGAAGAGAAGGAGTTAAGGAACCCATCGTCTGTGTGAAGTGGCCTTCATGTCATTCATGGAGTTAAACATCGATGGTGAATCTGAAAATCACATCCACTTAGAAGACCCTGTGAAACACGCTCACGTCATCTCAAGGAAAAGCCGGAACACACAAATGCAAACACATCAATATCAAGACAAATATTGCCTGTGTGTGTGTGTGTGTGTGTGTGACGTAAACCCAGAGCAGAGAGCAGAATGTCAGGCAGGTTTACATTAGTCAGCAGATGCAGCGGGCCACATCATCCGTCACTCTGACACCCACTTCTGAGCCCCTGCTTTATTGATGAGGCCAAGCTCAACAACTACCCCCCTCTTTATACACACACACACACACACACACACACACACACACACGCCGTCTCCATAATCTGTACTGTAAACGCAACAGGAGGCCGGTTTGGGCGTCTCAGGTCACGCCGGCGAGCAGAGAAAGCTGCTGCATATTCACAGATTTAACAGACAGACAAACAAACAAACAACGGGGTCGGTTCCAGATTCAAACATCTGCTCGACACCAGAATGTTCTGGGCGGGTTTTTATGAACGTCAGGGTGCCAAGTGTGTCACAGCTACGAGCTCGGGAGCCGTTTAACGGCCTCCGAGACTCTGACATTTAGCAGGATGCTGCAATTTGTCAGCCGCTCGGTCTGACTCACACAACAGGGGACATGAAAAACATTAGGGCCCTAATACTGCTGCATCACGGCACTGTGTGTGTGTGTGTGTGTGTGTGTGTGTGTGTGTGTGTGTGTGTGT